TTAAGTTTTGACTTTTTAATAATTGATACATGGATTATTTGGGATAGAGGGAGTACGTGGGGAAAAAAATAACACTCTAGGCTTACGTATGCAAAATGCAAAACGCTAGATTCGACAGGATTTAGGGGACCCACGGTAGTTACAACATCATATTCCTTTCGTTTGTAAATAAATCAATTTCTAAAGTTGTCTTAAATAAAAAAATCTATGTTTAACTAAATGTGTATAAAAATACAAATATTTATGACATTGAATGAGTATATTATAAAAATATAGTTTACGGTGTTTTTAATTATGTTAATGTGGTGTCATAAATCTAAGCGCTCTTTCCTATAAATATGATCAAACTTAAAATATTGACTTAAGATAACTATAAGGTCTGATTTATTCAGGCAACAAAGGAAGGGAGTACAACTACCTAAAACATAGAATTTCATCAAACCTTGATTTATGTTATGTCTGTAACCGAGGGAGTACAATTTCTTTCTTTTTTTTTTGTAACTTTGGGTAGTTTATTTTGAGTTTGGTACTCCCTCCGTCGGGGGACTACCTAAAAATAAAAAAAATGCTCTAACCAGTCGGGGGTGGGAAGAAGGGGCCGGCGGGGAGCTCTGGCTGGGTGGGGGACGGGAAGAAGGGGCCAGTGGTAAGCGCAGCGACGGGTGGAGGTCCTGCGGGCAATGCATGGGATGGAGGCGCCGCGAGGAGTGGAACGAGTGGACGAGATTTTTTTTAATGCATCCGGACGGGAGTCACGGGACGGACGTCCTCGTCGTACCATTATGGCAACGCAATCTATATGTCTACATAGTACCATGTACTGTATGCCGTAGAACAGAATGCATTTCCCTCATCAGACCTGTCTGGGTGTTTGGCACGCCACGTATCATTGCGAAAGTTCATGCAGGGTGCGGCTAGGACTAGGAACAACCTATATAGTCTTATTGCAAGTTAACCAACTATTGTTACTCAAAGTCGAAGGCTCCTCCTCTAGTGACTGAATACATAATAATAACACAAGAAAAGATAGACATTCCCATACAACCGTGCTGCCGTAGCCGTACTGTAGTAGCAGTGGCAGTAGTAATAACGACTCAAAAGCTTCAATATTTATTTCGTCGCCGGCTGCACGTCCGGCGACACGGCAGCCCAGAACTCGTCGTCCTGCTCCAGCGCTACCATGTGCTCCGGCGTCAGCACCACCTCCGCGTCGATGCTGCCTCCGCCCTCCCGCCCCGGGAACAACGACACCTTGCCGTCGTACTTGTTGGCCTTGCCGCCCCGCACCGCCAGCGCCTTTCCCCACCCGAAGTCGCAGCCGTACATGTCGAACCGGGGCGAGCTGCTGATGAACATCGCGTTCGGGTCGAACAGCCTGAACGCCAACAGCCCCGGCTTCGCCGCCCAGGCCGCCGCGAGCGCTCGGATGCCCGCGTCCGTGTGCGCCGCCACCGCGCGGCCCACGGCGGCCGCCGCCCACCCGTGCCCGCGCGCCAGCAGCTCCGACGCGCGCACCGCCTCCGTCGAGACGGCGTTGATGGCGTTCCCGAAGTACTCCGCCGGCAGCGGCGGCCGGAGCCGCCCGCGGTTGTTGGCGGACGCGCGGAACACCACCTCCTGGTCCGGCGCCGTGCGCCGCGCGCGGACGAAGCACCTCCATAGCAGCGAGCTCAGCGCCTGGAAACTTGTCACGGCGGCCGCCCCGGCAGTGTCCCCGGCTGCCAGGAGCTCCTGCCGTGCATGCTCCTTGAGCGCCGCTAGAGACTCCGCCGAGAAGTGCAGCATCCGGTCCCTCTGCGGTGGCGGCAGCAGCGTCGGCCTCGCGATGAGCCCCTCGATGTCGGCGTACGGGGAGCACGACCGGCGCCGCCGCGCCACTACCGTCGGGCGACCAGCTCTCGAAAAGGGCGGCGTGCGCGACGCGAGCACACGCGCGCCGCCGCCAGGGGCCGGGGACGACAGCCTGGCCCGCGCGATCTCCGCCCACGCGTTGATGAAGTTCCAGAAGGCCGTGCCGTCGGAGAGCGCGTGGTTGTACACGAACCCGACGAAGACGCCGTCGGCGAGCTGGGTGACCTGGACGACGAAGAGCGGGCGCTCGTGGCCGTCGTAGTTGACGGCCTCGTTGAGCGGGAACAAGGATCGGACGACGCTCGGGACATCGGCGTCGGGAGGGACGACGTCGGCGACCGCGACGCCGTCCGCGACAGCCTCGAGGACCTCGACGCCCTGGCCGGCGCAGTCCACGGACACGGAACAGCCGACGACGTGGCCCTCGTCGTCATGGTGCCGGTCGATGGCGAGTCGGCCGGCGACGGGGTAGTAGGTGGCGATCGCGTCGGCGAGGGCGGCCTGGAGGTGGTCGACGAGGTGGGTGAAGGTGGAGAAGCAGGGCGGCGGCGCGAAGAGCAGGCCCTTCTGGATGTAGTCGGCGGAGAGCAAGGAGAGGTCCCAGGTGGTGAGCTGGACGCGCTCGCGAGGCCGAGGCGGCGGCTTCACGATGCGCCTCGACACCACTTGCACCGGTGACTGCTGCATTCTCTTCTCGACCTCGGAGTAGTGGATTGCAGTTGCAGGCTGCTTCTTGCTGATTCGTTTTCTTCGGTGGCGCAACAAATAACATCCATGGAGTCATATATATAGCAACAGCATATGTTAAGATGCAGGTTCATGCACGCATCGTCAGCCCGGCGGCTCTGCCAACCCATATCATGATCCACATTGTGGTTAGTTCCTGCAGGCCGCCATGGAATGCTCATGGAAACTGCCGTGCCCAATGGCGAGTGTACATCCAGTGGCGGAGCCAGGATTTATACTCAGGGGGGGCCGGCCGTCAGGAATTATACTTAGGGGGGACCGGCTCGGTCTTTTTCATTGCGATAATTTTATTATCTAGTTGTGTTTTGTATAATTATATTATTTAGAAGATATTAATAGGTATATATGACAAGAATTTTATATAATCTTTTTCTTAATATAAATAAAAAATATTAAGTCATACTACTATTTTTTGTTGTTGTGAAACATTGGGGGGGGGCCATGGCCCCTGCCAGCCCCCCTTGGCTCCGCCAGTGTGTACATCGGTAAACCTAGTATTTCTTTTTTAAGAAAGGCGCAGGAGGTGGTCTTCAATTCAGATAGGATTTCGTTAAAAAAAATACTATGACCGGATTTGCTTGGTACTCCTAGAATAGTCATATACATCGGTTGCATACAATGCAAAATTCGTCAGCCTTTGTCACTACCGAGTCACCCCTTATCACTACCTCATCCATAATGAACCTGACAAGCTCCTTTTGAAGTGACAATAACTCATACTCCTTTCTTCCCCAAAAATAAGTGTCGCGTGGGATTTTATGCTAGCCAAACTTTCTTAAATTTAACTAAGTTAGTATAAAATATTAGTAACATTTGTATATCTAATTTTATGGTGAAGTATATTCAACCATTAATCTAATGATATATACTTATTGTGCACCACATATATTGTACTCCCTCCGTCTAATAAAGTGTCGTCGTGGGCCTGATCGGTTGTGATTTTTGCAGCGTTGTAGCTGTTGCTGCACAGCCTCCCCTAACAGCTACAATAGCCAATAGGAAAAATGAACCTACACAGCAGCAGCCTAAACAACTGCAGCCGTATGTACCGAGTAAGTTGATGAGATTCGTGTTGCTCAAACTTTATTAAGTTTGACTAGGTTTATATAAAATATTAGCAATATTTATATCTTTAAGTAATTTTAATATGAAAATATACTCAATGATCTATATAACGATACTAATTATGTATCATAAATATTAATATTTTCTTATATATTTAATCAAAGTTGAAAATATTTGACTTCCAGGTAAGTGAGCATGACACTTTTTATAGGACGGATGGAGTATATATTTTATTAAAGATAAAAATATTTGACTTTTCGAAAAGTGAGAATGACATTGTTTCTGGAAAGAACGGAGTATAACAGCAAGTTCTAGATAACATTGATTTTCTTATGGTACTTCGCAAAGGCCCTATATGACATTACGAAGAGTGAATACAACCAGATTGAAGAATACCTACTGGACCACTATATCAGGAAAAGAGTGATTGTGTATAACTACTTGGGACATCTAGAGGGGTTGAGTATGTTCATGTTTTCACCTTTTTGAGTTGTATAAACCATGATCTTGCTCTTGTCCAGATTGATGTCAATGAGGACGTAATGATAACTGCATTTACAAGAACCCTTTTAGATTATTCCTAAGCTTGATCAATGAAAATAGGAGTTAGGAAGACACTTACTCGCAGTTGTAGGCTTAACTGCAAAGTCCTTTGCTTGCTGCTCGATTATAGTTTCCTACCATACAAGGGTGTTCTCCCGTTCAATGGCCAATGACCAATGTATGGGTGAGGCAAAACTTCGAGGTTTTTTCCGATCTACGTAAAAATGTTTTCTTATTAGCAAAATGCTGAGGGTTGTTGTGCTGAATAACCTGGGCCCACAGGGCTTGCAATTGCTTCATTTTTGTTTAGGAAGGATTTAGCCTGTTCGGTTGGCTGGTTCGTTTCGTTGCTGGTTCGTGAAGAAGTACTGCTGGCTGGTTTGTGTGAGAGAAAAATATTGTTTCTGCTAAAAATTTACGATCATTTACGACAAGTCACAGCCAAACAAATAGGCTTACAGCCTGTTCGGGAGGCCGTATCGTATCGTGGATTATTTACTGCTGACTGGTTTGGTGTGAGAGAAAAACATCGTTCTCGACTGAAAATTTACGATCGTTTACGAACAAGCGAACAGGCAACACGCTCCTCGTGCGGTCGTGCCTGCTTTTAACGGTCCAGCCCAGCGTTTAAGCGGGCCTAAACTTCCTGGGCATCAGCGCTGCAAGAGCCAAGCCGCAGCTTATTCGGTTGGTTGGCTGGTTCTGGTTCGTTTCGTCGCTCATTCTAGAAATTTACGATCGTTTACAACACGCCACGGGAGCCGGGAACCCGGCGACTGCCCTGCGCGGCGGCAATGGAGCCCGAGGCGGCGGCGCTGTCGCAGCTGCAGCTGCAGCTCCTCGCCCTCGTCTCTGAGTTCCGCCTTCTCCGCGTTAGCCAACCGTCCACCCCGCCTGGCCTTCTAGACTCTTCCAGACCCGCGCACTAACAATCGGCCCCCGTTTCCCGTTCGCAGGAGCGGGAGCGCGGCGCCCGCGAGGAGCTCCGCGACGCCGGCCAGGTGAGGGCTTCTCTCGGTGTTTAGGGTCCTGTGCCACGTCCGCTGATGGAGGTTTGTGTGTTCTGGCAATCTAGCGCAGAGGTGGGAGGCGGCGGCGGAGGAGCACCGTAGGGAGGCCCGGGAGCTGCGAGCGGAGCTGGCCGCGCGGGACGACTCGATACGGAGGCTCGAGGCCAGGGTTCGTCCTCCCTCACCATTTCTCTCCAGTTTTTGTCCTTACCGCTTGGGGGCGTCGTTGTTGGATTGTGACTGAATTTACCTGTGAAGCTGCCGGAGGCCTGCAGTGCACTCACACTTGGTTCACTGGGCCGCAGCTTCTGGTTTGATATGGTGTTATGGTTGTCAGTTTTAGGTGGAGACCTGTTCCTCGTTAGGTTATGCTGCCCATTTTCACCCTGTTCTACAGCATTACTTCGCATTACTTTTCAGCGAACGAACAGTGTTTTCCTCTCGCGACAAATCAGCATAAGCATCAGCGTAAGCCAAATTTCAGCGAAACGCCAATGATATGTGTTCCTCGTTAGTTCATGATTCTGGACAGTATCCATCATATGTGTGCCATTGCTTACAAGTCAGTGTCGTCATTACCATATGGATAAAGCTAGTTGCCAATGCCGCTTTGATCTATTGGCCTCCTAGTTGGTAATTCCAATTATTGCGCTTCTGTACAGATAAAGTGTCTTGAGAATGAGAATGAGCTGCTGGAGAAAAACGAAAACAACTTGAAAGAAAGCATGGAGGTGCTACTTCAATCAAGGGAGGCTTTCATAAAACACTATGAGTCAGGTAGCTTCCCTTTTTGTTTGCCCGCTTATTTTGGGCCACTGTTTATTTGCACGCTCTCTTTCTTTATATAAATTACCCCTTCCATTCCAAATTATAAGACATTTTGGTTTTCCTATAGATGTAGCTTTTGATATGCACTGTGATATACACTATGTCTAGATACATAGTAAAATCAATGTATCTAGAAAAGTCAAAATATCTTATAATTTGGAACGGAGGGAGTATTTCACCTACCTTTCCCCAATTCAAACCAAGCAAAGGGATCGAACAAGCTTGCTTGTTCTCTGACCTTGCTAAGTTGCTAGGCAAGAGAACCAGACATGCCTGCATCTTTGATAACAACTTCAATTTGTTTTTTTGTACAATGGCAATTGCCAACTATAAGTGTTGTAGAAGCATTATTGGTCAGAATTTGACGAAAAGCGGACATTGTTTACTATCATGGAATTCACATTATTTAATTTCGTTTTTTCAGAGATTTTAGCTTTGGTTCTGAATCAATGTGTGCGTGGAAACAAACTGACATTTGGCTCATATACCATGTTCATAGGCAGGACTCTACTTGTTCTATGCAATGGACAATCCAGATGAAGGACAAACAGATTGCTGTAATTTCGGAGAAATTGAATTCACATCTTGTTTTGTTTAGTTCGGTAGAAAAGGAAGTTGATGCCATGAAACAAGTACTAGGTGATGTGCATTGTCTAGTTGGTGAGAAGGAAAATGTAGGTATGGCTATGATCACTCTTGACACTTGGATTCTCCAGCTATCTGATTGCTCAATTTAATTTTGATTATTATGTGTCACTGCTTCTCTGGTTATTATCTTTCCTTACCTTCACTTGTATTGTTATTTCAGTTGCTGACTTGAAGGAGAAAGTCCAAAGGATTTCTGTGCTTGAGAAAGATTTTGTAGGTATTTCCTCTTCTTGTGTCTTGCTTGATGAGATTGTGTTTTCTATATGATGATCATCGCTACTGTATATGCATGATTTCTTTTTATCTTCAATTATGCAGTAACTCTCATGTTCCATTTATGCAGAGAAACTTAATTTCCTGGAAAGCAAAATCCGTGCATACCAGCTTGAACTCCGTAGTAGGGCAAGGATCATATATGAGTTAAAAAATTGCCTTGAGGCTGAGAAGCTTAACAACGGTTTTCAGTCTGATCTGGAAGAAATATCCATTAACTAAGTCAATAAATTGCATAAGTTTGATCTTCAGTTTATATCAAAATCACGTGGGTTGTTTTCTACCTTAATGACGTTACCTTAAGAAAACTTTGTTGGTGAAGGATGAGATTATTGAGAGATTAACTTCAGAGAATCAGGTGATTCTGCTACCAATATTTCAACTTTCCAGTTGCCTTGAAGATCCAAATTGAATGCCTTTTTTTTGCAGGCAATGCGTTTGGAACTTCATAATATGGAAATTGCTTTACAGAAATTTCAAGATTTATTCAGTAGTATTGGGAATGAGGTAAGATGCAAATATTTTAGTAAAAAGTTGAATGACATCTTTACTGTTCATATTTTGAGTCTTGAATTATATTATAATATCTTCATCATGTCTATAGCTAAATACTATTTGTTCTTGAACTAATTGTGTACTAGCGAATGAAGAATTTTTCAGCAATTTCTGAAAGTCAGGGTGTACAGGATGTGAATAATGAGCAGCTTGAAAGGTGAGTGATTCATTGAACATTTATTGTTCCAGTCAACAAATTGAAAAAAAATCTGAACATGCTCTATGTTGTGCGTGGTGAAACCATTAGGGTTCCAGGTTCACAATGTGGTCTAGCAAATGAGCATACCTCAGTAACTGCAATTGTCAAAGAAGGTAAGTCCCCCTTTTCCTCTTTTAAGAGCTTGGTTTCAATCCGTCCTTTTACGAGAACTGGACGTCATTGTCATAATTTATATTTACTCTGCAGTCACACACTTGGTTTCCAAAACTCTTAATAATCTTTCTTTGTTCAAGTTCCACTATAGACTATCGAAGTTATCCAGCTTCATAATCCAGTTTTGCACTTGGCATATCATTGTTGGACCAAATCTTAACATAGACAATTTACTTCCACTTTACGTTTCTGATTTCTACTTTGTGCCTTGTGTGTCAAACTGTCAACTATCTATTTCTATATTTTCTACAGCCACCACACAAAATGTAGACCACCAGTTGGAAACTGATCCAGGCAGTATGCAAGTACAAAGTCCAGTGCACTTCAAGGTAAGTCGCCTGTTACTTCATTGTTTGTCTAGTCTAGCATGGGTAAGAAAATCAATTTTCCATAGTTCTGTGATCATATACGGAGTTCTCTTCATGCTTGTAGTCTGGTGCCTTGCCATCTCCGGAGCTAGTATCTGCGAATACAGAAACAGCCGACAGCCTTCTTGAACCCAAAGGAGACATTGACATGGTATGGAATCTTACGCTCCTTACACTGCGGGGTTGTTTGGAGCACAGGTTTTGTGGAAGTTAAAATTCCTAAAACAGATTTTAACCTAACTACCTGAAAAACGTTGTTTGGAAACTCACATTTAAAGAAAACCTGTTTTCCAAAAAAAAAAAAAAAAAAAAACAGTTGTGCACTTTGTGAGAAACGATTACAACTGGTTACTTTTGCTTCTTCCTGAAGGCTGACGACTGCTTTAGCCATATTGCTGGTGGCCCGCTCAATTAGTGCTGCTGCTTCACTGAGACATGGGGAGCTGGGGAGGTGCATGGCCTACTGCTGCTTGGCTAGGGCGTGACTAACAGTGTCCATGTCAGCGAAACAACCACCTAAAGCTGTCTTTTCCAAAAGTTGCTCTTAAATTGTACTTTTCCAAAAGAGATTTGTTGTTCATCAGATCCAAACAACCACTATAAGCCCAAAGCCCCCAAGCATCTTCCTTACATGATAAGTCCTAACTTTAAAATACAACACATTATGCTGGTTGACTGAACTTGGTCTTTTGCAGGGCGGTTTATCTCGAGTCCTGAACGACCGACAGATTGTTTGAATCTTGATCCTGACACGGAGAATCAGTCCTGACCATGCAATTTGTATCCCTTCACGCCTGGAATTCGGATACGGATAGTTACTGATTCCATGGCTGGTCGTCGAGCATATTTTCTCACCCCTAGTTGACCACCCCCCTTGTTTGCATGGCCCGTTTAGTTAGCCACTAAAGAGATAGATCAGGTAGTGTAAGGTGTATTTGGTTTTTGTTCTGTTAACTTGGGGTGTCTTGAGAAGTGTCAACAGTATTATTGTACATTGCAATTGTTGAACTTCATTGATATGAATTTAAGTCAACCTTATATTTGGTGATAAGTTCAGTATTTGTTTAATTTTGTAAGATCAAGCATAATATTTGTTTTGCAACTTTTTTTTTGCCAACTTTCTAACCCTTGCACGAAGAAAAAAATAACAAAATAAGAACAATACTATTATATTTTCCTTTGAGCGGGATAATTTAGTTTTTCTTGAATTTTTTTAGGGGGGCAAATTCGTTTTGATTCTTTCGAGAGGAATAGAATTGTTTACATTCAGCCTAAAACCTTTTTATTAAGAAGACGAAGGGGCCTAAAATAGCGAGGTCTCATGAGACTGCTGTTGGCAGTCTGTCCTCTGCGGTTGCTGTCTTTAAAATGTAAACGGTCTTGGTTGTGTACTGCTTATCAAGTTATCCGACACTGCTTTATCTTTGATTTGGCTAAGAAGTATGGTTAAGAGCAATGGAAATGCAGTGTGAGTACTCATCTGGTTACAGTTTTGGTACATTTGTATCTGAATTAGGATATGCTGTCACATTGGGTAACTAGTTACATGAGTTGTTTGAATGCTTGCTGCATTGCCAACATGAGCCAAATTGATGTGTTTCACTGTCACAACAAATCCAAATATTTTGTTTGGTTATGCCCTGGAATGGACTAGCTGCATGATTGTTGCTTCACTGTCAAAACAAATCCTTTTTTTTTCATTCAGTTGGTTAACATGATTTGCTTTTGATTTATGTGCAATCTGAGAATGGTTTCACTGAAGTGATACCTCATATTTGCTCTTTCCATGCACTTATAAAACAGCAAGAGCTTGCTCATCAACCTATCAGTACCATTGCAATGGCATTACCCAGTGTTTGCCAAATGTTAATGCCGATCCTTCTATCCTCGTCTACGTGAAGGAGCATGCTGTCTCACATTTCCCTCAGTTAAGTATGCACACTCAGCATTACTATCATTCTGCCGTGAAAGTGAAGAAGCAAGAAAAAACTGAAGGAAGCATGCATGCAATCTCAAATCAAAATGCAGTCCAAGTGGCACTCCTCTGCCTGGGCTTGAGCGAAACGTGCACGCCGTCGCCTTCAGCCATAAGGGAGCCACACTTAACGGCAGGGATGCTGTTGGGCGTGAGAGCGCCCGGCCTGGGCGACGGGAACCTCGCCGGCTTTCCGCCGCCACCGCGGGGCGACAGGCTGACCTCCTCCAGCGCCCGGAACTGGAGCTCGGAGGGGTAGTCGCGGACGCAGCCGATCCGGGGCCCGGCACCGGTGCTCCAGTGGAAGTGCAGCTGCTTGCCGAGCTGGTACGAGTGCATGGCCCGCTTGGAGTTGATGCGGCTCAGGATCAGCGCCTCCGGCACCTCCGCGAGATCGTCCAGGTAGTGGTCCTCGTACCCGTCCTCCGCGAACAGGTTCCGCTTGCAGAAGTCGAGGCACTCGCCCAGCATGGCCGAGTCCGGGTCCACGTCCTTCACGCCGGGCGATGGCGCCCTGGCGTTGCTGTGGCCGAATGTGGTGGGCGGCAGGGGTGCTATGTTGTTGGAGCTGATCAGCAGCCTGGGCGGACGCTTCCCTTGCAGCCTGTTGTCTGAGGAGGTCTTCCTGATCGTCGTCGCCGGCATGCTGCAGGTCTCTGTAGATGTTGGCACGGTGGGTTCGTGGCTGCAGGTCTCGGCTTCGGCTTCGTCTTTGCCATGGCGTTGCGCAGATTGTGCCTCCTGTTCTTGGCTCTCTTCTTTCTGGCAGAGTTGGGTCAGGTCCAGCTGAGAGCGGCTGCCCCTGAGGCTGAAGTCGCCGTCTTCTTCACCTTCTTCTGATGGGCTCAACTGTAGCAAAACAGAAAAGCCAGCAAAGTGATACCAGTATCAGCTGAAGCGTCTGGGATCATTAGCTAATCTACCTACATAGGATTCACAGTATATCAGGTTCCTTACCATCACATTGGTAAGATCCACACTCTCTCCTTCAGGAAGTTCATGAACTCCTGAAAGTTCTGCTCCGTCGGCCGGTAATGCCCACTGTGAGGCCACACAGCCTGAAATGAACAGATATCTAACTTGAGCAAGAGAAAGAAAAAAACAGTGATGTTGGGATGAAGAATCCTACAAATTTCCATGCCATACCTTGAGAATTCCATCCTCCACGACCAGTCTTCCTGCAGCAGATGTGGCTCCCCCTGCAAGGAAGCTTGAGTGCTGGAATACGCCCTTCTGCTTCTGCAAACATGTCAAAGTTTCGGTCTCACTTCAGTCACTGAATTGCTCTCAGTGTTCAAAAGAATTCCATCCGAACTTGTCAGGGAATCATCATTCACCTGGCCTATGTAAAGAGTCTTGCATGTACTGAGCACAAAGATCCACTTGGTCCCCTTGGCGCTTCCAGTCGTGTCGACTATCTGACGGCTCAGCTTGTACATCAACCTCTTATCCTCGACTATCACTTCATAATTTTCCCTTTCTTTCTGCACGAGCACGAGACGACATATTTGGTTATTTTCCCTTTCTTTCTGCCTGAATGATTCTTCTTCTTTTTTACTTTGAATCTGGGGAGGAACAAACAGTGGAACTTACAGGGCCAAGGTACTTGATACATTGCTTGTGCAACTTCGATCTAGGGCAATGCTCCTCTAAGTTGACATCTTTCCCTTCTCCTACATCCAACCTGTCCAAAGAATTACAGAACCGTCAGTGCTCGATCAGTAGCTATGTTGTTCATTGGTTTAAGACACATGACTTTTTGCTGTGTGTGTCTGTACCAATAGAAGAATGGCTGCTTGCTCTGGCAGTGGAGCCAGCGGTGGTAGTAGAAGTGCAGGTTGTGCCCATACCGATGTCGAGGGTCAATCTGACAATCAGAAATGGATCAAAATGCAGTTTTTGATTGCTCAGCGGCATAATGTGACCAGCATTATATTTATGGAGACATTTATATTCTTTGTACATAACATACCGCCTCGAGCCAGTGCTGCAGCGCAAGTTTCTGGGCCTTTTCATCCTTGGAGAGACCTTTGCCAACCTAAATGCGACAGCAACACTACACCTCTGTCAGGAATGCAGTATATTACAAGAAAAGAAAAACTGCTGATACAAAGTTGGTATTGCACTGTACAAGATTCATAATGCTGATTGCTGATGTTATGATGGTATATCTGAACAGAAGAATACAATTGGTACCTTGGCAGCCCTCATTCTTGCCCGGGACCATTTTGAGACAGCAGTCTCAGGCTTCTCTATGTCAAAGAATGACACCGAGTTCCGCTTGAGCAGTGCAAAATCAAGCAACTTCCACCTGCATTTTGTATAGGATCATAAATAAAATTCAGAAAAGAACCACCTTGATGGCTTGATGACTAGAACAAGCTCACCCAACCCAATAAATACTAGCATAGAACAAGGCTGTGTCTTACCATCGTTGTTCCACAAGAACAGCACAATCCGCAAGCTGCCGCCTTGTCCTGAAGCTCTTGTACACCTTCTGCAGCCTGACGGCCGCGGCCTGGTGCTTGGAGCTGTCCATTCCGACCATGGGGTAATCATAATCTGGTGGACGGTCCCCGATTGACCCGAATCTTGATGACCCAGAACTAGCAGCACCGGCACTGATGATGTTGCAAGCTTCTTTATCAGGAGGTTTAGGACTCCTGATGGACAACACATTCTGCATCTGAATGCTGTCAGCCTCTCTCCTTTTGAAGCTCAGGGAGCCTTCTATGATGAGCTTCCCGGAGCCAAAGGCGGGGGGCAATGCCGAAGGCGAAGTCGAAGGCGAAGACAAAGGCGACTCAGCGGCGGCCTCCATGTCGTCGAAGCTGAGAGACCGGATGAAGAGCCGCCCCATGTTGTCTTCCACTGCTGGCAGGTAGTCGTCTGGTGGGTATGAGATTGACAATCCCATTTCCCCTGATGCCAAGATGTGGTGCCACACAGACAAAGGCCTTTCGCCGTCTTTCCTTTTTCTCTGATTGGATTAGATTGGATTCGGTTGTTGGATCTCACCGTCTCAGCCAATCTGCATGTGCCAAGAAAGAATGGACACCAAGTTCAAGTTTTGTGAATGGGCAAGAACTGTTTCAGAAGAACACATTTGAATCCCTTTTGGGGTTGGGTTCATACTGCTCTTTGCAAACAATTTCCCATGTTCAGGAACAGATTGCAGGTCAGGATGCAAGGCATAACCAACAATCAAAGAAGGGAAGAAAGAGAGCATGCATGATGCAACTCAACAAGAACAAACCTCCATCTCCTTCAAACTTTGTTTCTTCCTTGCAAAATCGGAAGGACCCATTATCTATCTAGAAAACTAAATGGTACAAACATATATAAACCAAGAATCAAGAAACAGACCTTGCCTCCAAGAGAAATCCAAATCCTAGTGCCAAAGCAACAAGTTGCAACCACCTCAGAGGGCAGATTTAGGAGGAACAGAATCTAAATGGGGGCGGTGGCCATACGGGGAAGGTAGGTGGCAGGAGCTACCCCAAAAGCCCCTGCACTCTATAAATAACAAACCAAAACTTGCGGTGTCCTATCCTAGCTAGTTCCCTGATCAAAAGTTTGTCACTGACAGATTTGATGAGTTATAAAAAATAATACTACATAAAAACAGGTTAACACTTAACATGCATGTAAGTACAGGTTATTGTCTGATACAAGGAGCTTTCACGCTGGTCCTCCTTGCCTTGAAGAATGCGTTCTGAAAGAATTGAAAAGGGGATCAAGAGTGTGCTGGCAACAGATGGCCGGTCTATTCTGTTTTTTTTTTTTTTTTGCCCTGTTTGTTCCTCCTCTCTAAAAACTAAAAAGGGTTCAAGTGAATGAATCCTATTGCTTGCTTACTTGTAGATAATAAAGAAAATGGTGGAGGTTTCTACTGTGGTCGTCTCTACATTATTTCAGGGCGATATACATTAGCATTTGCTTCACCTTGCTGGTACATTTTCGGTCCAAATAAATACCTGTATAGAACCTGACAAATAAATACCTGTATAATACCTGAAAAAAAAAATATACACCAAGTCAAACATGCAGAGGCATTATTTTGCCGACACATAGCATGATGCCATGCAACAGACATTAGGACTAACCAATGGTGTTAATTTAAATCAAGATCTGGTGATCCATATTCTTATCCAAGTCTACATCAGAATGACCAGAGGGGTCGCTTTCGGTTGGCATGCAGTTGAATCTCATGAAGAGAGCCATTAACCCTTTGCCAAACGTTAGCACGGGAAAACAATAATAAGCTGATTAAAAAGGTGGCCACAAGTCTACTCCAGCCAGCTCTCCATGACAGGGCAATCTTGAGCTGAAATATCATGAGGCCTGGGCCTTGTTTAGATGCCAAATTTTTTGGCAAAATAGCACTGTAGCAGTTTTCGTTGTTATTTGGTAATTAGTGTCCAATCATAGTCTAATTAGGCTTAAAAGATTCGTCTCGTGGTTTTCGTCTAAACTGTGTAATTAGTTTTATTTTTTATTTATATTTAATGCTTCATGTATGCGTCCAAAGATTCGATGTGACGGGGAATCTTGAAAAATTTTGCAAAATTTTTTGCAACTAAACTGGACCCTAGCTTTCTAATTCCCTTTTAAAAAGGATCCAGCTCAACACTTTAGCCCATTGCTAATTTAACTTTTGCCCATCACAAAAGTAACCGAATGATCACAGCGACTTCTCAGACCGCAAAGTAACCGAATGATCCACACACGTTACGTCCTGGAATACTCTAGCATTTTAAATTATAAATCGTTCTGGTTTTTCATAGATATATATTATGTCACACGTAAAGTAATTGAGTGATCCACGTGTTAAGTTCTAGAGTACTCTAGCATTTTAAATTATAAGTTATTTTATTTTTTCATAGCAGCTATATATTATGTATAGATATATAGTAAATACAAGTATGAATCTAAAAATAGCTAAAACAACTTATAATTTAAAATAGAGGGAGTATATATAGACGCTCGTATGCTAAAGTAAGCAGTAATAGTCGTATATATAAAGAAAGAGCATATGTAATGGCAGATTATTAAAAATGAAGCAGAGAAAACCACTCCTGTACAAACAAGCTCGCAAAGTCTTGTACGAATAAATAAATAATTTAAAAATGGCCCAGACTGAGATGGACGGCCGACCAGGAGTCAAAAAGGCGAGACAAGGCAAGCTGGCAAGGCGTGGGAAGGCAGATCCGATTCTGCAATCCATCACCGGCACGCACGTACACGGCCGTACATGCTAGCCGTACAGCATGCTGCAGTCAACCATCCCAGTTTACGCGCTTTGCTGTCCTTGGATTTTCTTAGCATTAAAAAGAATGCACGCTGGATCATACAGCTCGATCGGCTGCAGCAATAGCACCCAGGGTTTTAGAGCATAGCGCATTTAGATCCATTAGTAATAAAAATTAGCTATAGTACTAAAAATTTAAATCGATCTCTGTCTAATGTAACAATTTAGCTTAAAGTACACTAGAGAGGGTCTGAGCTTCCATATAAATCTTTACTGACGCCCTAGGGTGTCTGAAGGCGTGTTGTATTGAACTGTTTCTCTACCTTAATACAAAGACGCGTAAACCTTTTATATAATCGAGAGAGAAAAATTAGCTATAGTATCGAACCCAGAGATTGAAAAGAGCCTACGCAAACCTTAAAGGGGCTGTAGGGTTGCAAACAAAGTTGTGAACCAACGTGCAAGCTAATATATACAAGTGAATTTAGTTTTGTCATCCACCAAGGGAGGCATATGGGCATATGGCCATCTCCATTAGC